ATATAGTTTAACTGAAAGAGAACTATTTACTTGGCTGGGAGTGTACCTGTAACCTGTTACTGTTCATTTTCTAGTAAGTAAACAAATCAACCGCAAAACAAATTAGTAATTTAATTTTCATTGCATTCAGTTGAATATTAAAGCTTTATTTGTTTGTGTTTTTTGTTCAGCTTTTGCTAAAATAACAAAATCCCTATAATAAATGTGTGTTGTGATGGGCAAATTTATTGCTTTTGTTTAATATTTCGCCAAGGCTTGAACTTCGTGTGCCACACCCACATTAAAATCAAAATAGAAGAGAAATTTTTAGTATTGGTGGATCTTCAAATACGCTTTTGATGCGAAAATGTTCATGGCAATTGAATAAAGGAATCAGTTAACTTTGTTAGCTTGGGAATCTAGTAAATTTTATAAATAAATTGCAAGCATTAGTCCTGCTAAGTAACTCAAGCTGAAACATCAAAGTATTGAATATCTTTGGGAAGAAAAATCTTAAATTTACAAATGACAATCACTGAAGGGCTTGAAACACTTTGAATAAATTAAAGTACCCTCCGCTAGGGCACAAAAACAAAGACTAACTTGTTTATTACCTTTGTTTAGACTTTATATGACACAAGTTCGCCTCCGATGATGGCACTTGAGCAAATGGCATTAGCATTGTCTTTCCATCCTCGAGGACTGGGCTTCCTTTCCCACTCTATTCCTTCTATTCCTTCATATATATCCTTGCATTCCTTGTGGAAAGTCTGAGCAAGTTTCTTATCGCGCCAAAATGTTATTTTTTCTCGGCTGGGTTTACTTTGCGCTTGATTTGTTTTCCGTAGTTGTTTGTGTGTGCCTGGGAAAATGCTGGTTTATTCCATGGAAATCTCGCCTCTACTTGGTTCCATTAACTTTTCGGCATAAGTGAGCATGCGTTATACATTATGAAGAAAGGGACTTGACTTGGCCCAAAAGCAGGCGGTCCAAAGTGTGGTAGCTCCCAGCTTTGGGAGTTCATTTCCCAGAACTTTTGATTGCTCAATTTGGGCGGCTTCGTAGATTTTGCATATTAAATTCGCCGCTTATTCTCCAGTTTGATTGCTGGTTATATAGACTATCTCATATCGGAGCATCATAACACATATTTATCGCCATGGTATAAAGACGTTTGCTTGAATTAATTGCTTTGAGCATCATTTGAGGATTTTAAGTAACATGTTTACCTTTTGAAATAGTTATGATTTCCAGTACTTAACCGTCAATCTTTATTTCTAAATTTATCGTGCAAGTTGGAATCTTATGTGTACAAAACAAGCCAAGTATGTGTGAAATAAAGGCAAACTTCGTGACGCACGATCTGGTGCACAATCTGAGATGCCACAAGCGCGGTCCGAGGATAGTAAGTTCCAGTGGATTTGCTAAAAAGGTTTACTTATGCTTGAATTCCGTTCCGAATAGAGGCAAGACATGAAAAAGACGAGGAGCTGGCCAGGAGCGCGGTTTATGTGCGTTTGTAAGGAGGGCGATTTGAATACTGCTGCATATTGTTTGGCGGAGTTGATGCACGAACCGTTTCAGCCATTTCCGATGGCCACCGTGGCAGTGCATCATTCGATCCGCGACGAGTTCATCGAGAGGGTGAGGAGTCGATTCCGGCAGCTGAAACCACACGTGGCCAATCATCCGAACTTCATAAGAGCCGTCAATGAGCTGAAGCATGGGCTACGACCAGTGAAATACGTCATGGCCGATGTGGAAGACGCACCGGCCTGTGCCAGTCCCATTTTGGTGACGGAAGGCGTCACCCACTTGTTCTTTCCCAGCGGACCCTCGGGATGTACCACTCTGCACAGCTTCAGTAGTATCGGGGAGGCGGCGCTGATCTTTGGCAAGGAGACGCCCAACTTCGACGCGGTCTATTTGTTTGATGAGACCATCACGAGTGTCTACATCTTGGCCACGCTCATCCGGTGTGTGCAGTTCTTTGTGAACTGCATGGATGCGTGTCTGCTGGAGATTATGCCCCACTACATGGAGCATACGCCCATGGTGATCTACAAGCGAGGATATCACTACGAGACCCTAGAGCTTGGCGGCCAGTGGAAGATCATCGTGTTCCCGTACAGCACCTCCATCCTGAGGCAGTGCTGCTGTCCCACTGGCCAGTGCCGCTGCTATGCCACCCATTCGGCCTGCTGCGAGGACAATATGCACAGTTAGGGAATGCGGGATGTGTATTCCCTGAACTGGGAACGTAGCCCACTCCATCCTGCTGGTAATTTCGACTGGGAACTCCATCTTGGCAAAGGAAATCAGAACTTCCTCCGTCTGTTCTTTGACTGCCGGCGTCGCCCCAGAAATCCGCAGTTCCAATGAGTAGTTTGCGACTGGCAACACATGTGAGCCATAATTTTCGCGGTACTTGCCTCTTGGATTGCAAATAAAGTGGTCACTGGCTGTGGTGAACTATTGCATTTTGGGTAATTCCTCTTTTTCTTTTCATCCCGACCTAAACTGATCAATAATTTACTACATACATGGTATACAGTGATGGAGAAATATATCCCATGTTGTTGGTCATAGGGACTTTATTTACAACCTAGCTGCACTCCGTTGGGGATCTCTGCTGTATTTAGTGGCGCAATAATTTTGGCTGTATTTATCAAGCCGTGTCCCTTCGCCCAAAACCCCAACTTTGGCCAACCGCTTGCAGGATGTCGCCGACTGTTGGCTTTTAATAAAACTTGCACACAGCCGCCAAGTATTTGCCTTGGCCTTGCCGAAAAAGAACTTCGAGAAACGGGCAAGTTGCTGGTCTGGGTTCCCAGTTCTGAGTTTTGGAGACTGAGAACTGTGGTCTGAGAACTCCTAAACCGACACAAGTCTGGCAGCCATTAGTTGCGGCTGCTGATGCGGCAGCTTGTCGCCAAGGCATTGACTTCTTTGGGTTACCGCCGAGTAGTTGTTGGGCTTTTATGTGCCAACTTGTTAATGAGTTTGCCGGGATGTGGGGGTTAGCCGTCCATATCCAACCATCAAGCACTCATTCATGACAGGCGGCCTATGCTGCACTTACTTACCTTCTGCAGTTTTGGCAATGAAACGGAATCCTTGCTGCAATCACTGGCAAATGTCTGAATGTCCTGCTGTCTGGGATGTCTCTCCATCTGCTGCACTCGTCTGGTTTATTTGTCAGTGCTGTCTGCCATTTTGATTTGCAGTCTGACATATTTTGGCCGCACTTCAGCATTTTGATGCTCGTTGGCAATGAAAAATGGCAATGGAAAAATGATGTTGCACATTAATATTTTACCTTGAGCAGGATGCCTTTTAAATCATCAGACTGGATGTGCCTGAAGTAACGTACTTAACAAATATGTCATCCCATTAAGCGGACTGGATAATATTGTTTGACATATTGGAATGGAGTTTCCGTGTGAGAAAGTCTAAAATAATCAACTGGAAACCTAATAGGAATATTTTACAAATTAATTTGATTTATTTAATGATGCCACTACCTCTTCTTACCGATAGCTAGAGGTCAAATCCTTTTAACCAGCGCTGACAACTCACATTCGCTTATGTGTACAAATTGTACAACCCAAATAACAAAGTGTCCATGATGTTTATAAAACGGCAGAACAGAACAACCAACTGAAACCGCTGCCAGCATAGAAACCGAAACAAAACAGAGCAATTCCGACCAAATGTCTCTCAAACTGACCGCAACAATTTGAAAAACATTACCCATACGCCGCGTATGACACGGCAAAGCGGAGCAGATGGGCGATAAAAAGGGTGGACATGGACCCACTGGGCGGAGACCCAACTCGAGCATGGCGAACAGTGTATTTTCAACACCTGCTGGTCAAACAAATCGTGTTCATTTCGGTACAAACACTAATTTCGACAAGGTGCAAACAAGCTGACGACTGGTCGGCAGGAGGAGATCTGGGGCATGGGACGTGGGACACGGGACGTGGGAGGCTGGAACCGTGGACGTGGCGGCCAAGAGCCGAGCGTTGGGAACACCGGCCCGAACAGGAACACGCTCGAAACACAAACACAATAGAGGAAATTCCCAGCCACTGGCAAAGGGACAGCGGCGCTTGGAGGTGTCACGTGCACTGACTGTCTGCCTGTGCTCTTGCAAGGAGTACACTTAAAAAAATATTAATAATATATGCATTTTAGGTGTCCTTGCTTAACCGTTGAGCGTGCAGGTGTCATGTTCAAGATCATCAATATTTTTCAGCTTGTAATCCCCCACCAATTTGTAGTTTCCAAAATGATTTGTTATTTCTTTAGCGACTTGGGGGTATTTTCCCGCAGTGTTGCAAGCTCCGTAGTCGCATCCTGGAGTTTTTCGAGTCTGCGTTTTCGGCCGGGCCTGGCGTCGACAGATAAAATGCTTTTTTGTGAAAAATGTAAAATTGCATTTGTAACCGCATTTCATTAGAGAAAGAAAGTCAACCGTCAGGTAGCAGACAACGCACGTTTCCATAGATGGACGAGCAGCCAAGGGGGTGCTGGTGGGGCTGGTTGGTAAAATGGCAACAAAGTTCGCAATCGCGCCGTCGAAACGAGCGTCACGGTCAATGGCGAAACGTACAACGAGACAGAACTTGGCCCACACACACAAACTGGGCCCAAACGGCAAGCAAACTATTCGATGTGGGTGTGAGGGGTGTGGGGGGTGGGGAAGGTTTGTCATGGGTCGCACTGCAGCTTGGCATTTTTGTTGACCGGCCAGGACATAAACATGGATCCTCTGTCTGGGCTGCAGCTTCTGTCCTGCAGCTGTCTCGCTGCCCCACTCATTGTCTGGTTGTTAGGCCTTTAAATGTCCTGACAGGAATGTTGATGGCAAACTCGGTTATCGATATGTGAACAACGTTGGGGCTATAAATAAATAATGGGCCAGTGTGAAGGACTGAAATGCTGCTGGGTTATTCGAGAGGCCACATAAGAATGGCTGACAATTTGAAATTACTTCTAGTAATGGTAAGATTGCGTTCTGTCCTGCATACACTTTGTATACTACTTTTTTATTAAATCCACTCCATATGAATCTTCTGGTTGCTATCCAACATATATCGAATATATAAATCATTTACAAACACCTCGTGTGCCAAGGGTTTTAGTTTGTCTTCTACTTGCAAAAAATGCTAGATATAAAGTTCATACACGATTTTAGACTATCGGGCAGATCCCTGAGACCATCTTCCATTTCCGAGAGAGTGACGAAGCGGTATGCCAGCAAAAGGGCCACAATAACCAAGGCTGGTATGGCCAGAGATACCACGATGCGAGCCACAACGACAATGAAGAAGCTAATTACTATCAGGGTCAGAAGAATGGCCAGGATGCGGCCCATTTCGCCGGGCTTCACTTCACTTTTACTCCACTCATCCAAACGGTCAAAAACGCTGTCGCCGAATTCCATTTTTCTTAACTTGTTACTTCGAATTTGTCTGACCTTTTGTATGCCGTGCGTGTACTTGTATATTGAATGCTTTCTGAGAACTACTGTGACCTGATATACTTGAGAAAATGTGCAGTTTAAAGAGACGAAAAATTCTGGTAATTTTCTTTGGAAAGAGCTCAGCTAAAATGAACAAGAACAAGTGTTTTGAAATTACCACTTTAACCACTCCGAAAACAGCTTGTTTTCTGACCTCAGCAACTTAATCTGGCATTGGAAAGATATTTGGTAGGGGTGAAGTTGGAGGCACAACCACGAACTTACAGCCACATCGGCAGCTGTGAAATCTAAATGGCGCTCTCGATGTCAGCGACAGGATATCTCGCCGACTAGCGAACCGTGTCCTGACAACTTGACAAATGAATGATCGGGCCGCAGTCTCGGCACCGCAGAGCGGCCAACCTCAGGCAGCAGACAACAGACGCAGGACTCAGGACTCAGGACACAGGACAGAGGACACAGGACGACGAACACAGGACGATGGACACGGGGGTACATGGCGGTCCTGACGCGACGACAAACCGCAAAAAGCGAAACGCCAATCGACCAACAACAGCAACCGTAAAGGGCAAAAATGAACCCGACAATTTCGCCGCCACCAGCAACCGCCATTCCAACAATCATGAAAGCACCGAGCACCGAGCACCGAGCACCAAGCACCGATTACCGATCGGCAGGACCAGGGGGTCCTGAAAGTCCTTTGCCGTCCGCCATCGCCGGTCAGTTGGTGTCTGTGCATGAATTCCATCATATGATATCAATTAGTGATAGTGCGGTGCGACTGAAATGTCATTTGCAAAAATGCGCATATTTTAAACGTGACACACGCCGGCGCTCCTTTGGCCCCCACATCATCCACCCAACAGTTCATCCAACCATCATCCAATTCAGACACGGCATGATATCTCTCTAACGGAGCGGGAGCTATTCGAATGCTCTTTTTGGCGCAGGAAGGATTCATTTCGGTGGCTGTTTCCGCGCTTTGGTCAACTGGGGGTAACTTGTTAACTGGTTTCCGTTCTAAAAACGGAGCATAGCTGGTTATCAACATAGCGCGTAACAGTAAAGTCACTAACTGGGGAACTTCACATGCTATGTTGAACAAAACTCGATCACTTGATCACTTGGTCACTTAGGTAAACAGGTATTTTAAATCTATTCCATAGGGGAGAGTATTCTGTTGTCGGTTATGGTGGCAACCCTAATTGACCGGCTTGAATTCCCTTTTTTGTTCCGCGCGCTGAGACCATAAAAACCAAACAGAAAATGGCCAAACGGACCAAACCTGCTGCCTGGTCAGCCACATAAAAATCAGCTCGCCCGCATCAACTGCATGCCAACAACAATGGGACGTATGAATATGCAACGATGCCGCCGATGATGACCACGATGGGCCGAAGGGGGCGAATGGGAAATGGAAAATGGGAAATGGAAAATGCGCCGGTGGGTGAGTCGTCAGAGCTGCAACGGATATCCATGCAGGTGCAATCTCAAACAGAACTTACCACAGAGACACAGGGGCTCCGCGGGGGCTTGGTTTCGGGAATTGGGCGAGAAGACATGTCAACGTAACCAGAAAACGGATGGCGGAGGCCAATAAAACTGCAGCCAAGTGCAGCTGATGCAACGATTTGGCGGTTGGCGCCACCGGCGCCACCAGAGCCAAACGCAAATTGCATTTTCAGTTTTTTATCCCAGCTGAGACCTTTCGGGGAAATTTAATTTGCTTTTTCCCCGCCGGCCAACAATATGCGGTACGCGAAAATGCCGTCGAGTGCATTGATTGTTGGCTTATTGACAATGCCAATGCGAAATTAATGCCAGCACAAATGTGCAAACTTGCCAAATTGTTTGTTGCCATTTGTCATTTTTGCGGCTGATGAGATACACGAATTGCATCTGGTTTTTGGCCTCAGACTTAATTACCTGTTCACTTTCTTGGAAATAACCAGACGTTATGTGGCCTTGCTCGTTGACCTTCGACCTAAGTGGTTTTTAGTTGTTGTTGCACTTGACCCGTTTTTGGAAATTCGATGAAAATGTTCTTGATTTTTATTATGCTGCGAATAATGGTTGATTTTTTCGCGCTTCAGGGACCTTTATTGTGTGGCTTTAAATAGAGTGCCTGCAGCAATTCGATTCTACATTATTATGCTTTTAGAGATGTGTCAAATATTTAGATGGTAAGAGCTAAAATATTTGTATAGTATTTTTAAAGATTATTTATTAGAACTAAACCTTATATAGCCATATCCGAAGTAGCAGCAGTATCCGAACTTTTAAAAATGTTGTATGTACTTTTGCAATAAAGCAGCGCGATTAATAGAAATATTAATTTCGTCATCGCCAATTCCAAGTACTTCTTGACTTTTATGCGGCAGCAGGAGTGAAAAATATAAAAACGAGAACATTTGTAATTCGCATTTTGCTGTTGACATTTGAACGGTCGAATTTTCAATTGAGTCGTTCGGCGAAATGTGAGAAATTAATCAGCGATGGCTTAGGGCCAATGCCACTTGCCAATGGCTTAATGGCGACACGTTGCCAAAAGCGGACTTGCCATTCCATTCAAATCTCAATCAATTGGCAATAAAATTGAAATTAACTTGCCACAAAGGCATAAATGCTTTGGCTCCTGCTTGCCACCCCACCGCCCACTCGTTTGACACAAACTTAATTTGCAGCAAAAATACCGAGAAAAGTAAAAAATATTGGCAAGAGGGAAAAACGCTTGCGAAAAAATGTTGGCTGATTGCTCAGGGGGGTTGGGTGGGGTGCTCTGTGTGTGTGTGCTGTGTGTGTGGGAATGTACGGATTGTGGTGTTGGCTTGGAGACTTTAAGCCACAGGTAGAAGCAAAACAGTTGATGAAGTTTTCGTTCAAAGAACAGCTGCAAAAAATAGAACTGAAGGAAAGAAAATTCAGGGAAAAAATGAGAACTACCACATAGCCACCAAACGAAATAAATTGAAAATCGAGTGAGCAGCAGCAGCAACAACAACCTGAACACTTGCCAGGGTTGTCAACTGCATGGGGGGGAAATAACAAAAATATCAAAACTCTTGGTTTTGAGGTCCTGAGGTTGGGGTAAAAGCAGAAACAAAGGAAAAATGAAGAACCCGAAATAAAAGACAAATCTAAGCTTTGGCATTCCTCTTGCTTAACAGCAAAAGTTTTTCCATTATTTGAAGATTATAGACTCTAAACATGGGCCCACCCACACCCACACCCACACCCACCACACCGCCAAGAACTTGACAAGAAACGAGGGTGAGCATGTGCAGGATGGTCGAAGGGTCCGGGGGAATCGCCTGCCTTTTCCACATCATTGTTGCTGATGATGACGTAGCTGAAAACGCTCCGCACTTTTATGACAGCCAACCGATAAGAAGTGCGGACTGAGAAGCAGGGGCACAAAACTGGGGAGTGATGGGGCATATGAACGTAAAGATAGATGTTCAACTTTTTCACCAACGCATTCATATTGCTTTGTTCTATGCAGATGCCCCTGGTTCCATCGCCCCCATCGATGTTCCTCTGTCAAACGTCAATTGCTGTTCGAAGCTGCATATGCTGATTATTATGGCCATCGCTGCTCGAAGTTCTTGTCTCTGTGCATTTTACTGTGGAATGATTCAATAAGCTTTGCCAAACAATGGCAGTTTTCGCAGCTGCAAAAAATAGAACTGAAAAGAAAAGTTTTAGAACAGGTGGAAAAATTGTATGACAAAACGTATACATCAATTGAAACGTCCTGAAAATTGCTCATCTGCAGCCCATCTTATTTTAGAGTTCAGCCATGTCAGAGCAACTCGGAATTTATAACTCAATGGTAATACGAGTATGTATGGGAAAATATGTTTTCCAGTGCAGTCTGTATCCAGTATTTATGATTTTGTCATGTTTTTGGTCATCATATTCGATGTTTTGCGCTCTTGCTTATTTTCACTTTGCCAACCTCAATCAATAAACGCATGGAAATGCTGCAAAATAATTCTATAGACACTCAGTAACGGGGCAGGGGAAATGAAATGAACATGGTAAAATACATTTAGATGCGTTCTCGTAACTGAGATAGTGCAACAACACCTTTTGGCCACCGCACCAATATGGAATCGGAAAAGCCAGTCCTTCGCCGTTCGCAGTCGAACAATGGGAAATGCAAGAGCACTGTGGCAACTGTCAGACGATAGCCAGTGGGTTAAAAATATGAAAACAACTTTTCCGGCTACTAAAATATGCAAATTCAAAAGTTTTGCTGGCCAAATCAAGCGAAGCTACAGACCGACCACTACACAACTGGCAGGCAGGTGTCATTTCACTGTCCGTTGCCATGATTTTTGATTATTGTATTGGAATTTCTATCAGAATGGACTCCCGCAGTGGTCACCATGGAAGCGGCAAAAGAGGTGTGCGAAAGTATCTTTGGCAAAATCGGTAAGGGCACTTTTGCCCATCCGGCCCATCAAAAGTTTTTCCTTACCAGTGCCTTCATTTCTGATATTATTTGGGAACTTTTTATTTTCGCGTTCTAACTTTGAACATAATATTACACAAATTACTGGTAATCTACATAAAAAAGGCTGAGCGTAATGCTCGGAATATTATTGGGCTAGAAAGTTGTACGTAAAAACTTTTTATTCACCTAGTTTTTAACAAATTTTTGGAAAGTGTAGTTAAAATGCGAGTTAGAAATTGACCACCAGTTTCTTGCTTGATTTTTACTTTATTAGAATTATTAAATATTCGTTGTAAATATATATAAGTTAAATAGTTTCTTTGGCAAATAATCAACTGAATATTAATTTGATAAGCAATTTATAAAAAATTTAATACGATTTATATCGAGTTTCAGCTAATATTTTATTAATAAAATGTATATACAAATAATATTTGCTGTCACTTAAGAAATTAATTAGTCTGAGGTTCTGTTGGCGTAGACGTATCCCTCGTTGGAAATCGAAGAACTGCCTCCGCAACTGCTGGATGCTTTGGACCACCCTTTTCCGAAAAGAAAAGTCCGCTTTTCT